TAAGCAAATAAAACCTATTTAAGGGCCTAGTTTACATCAATACTTTTTCAACGAAACTTATGAAGTGTAACGTTTCCAGCTGCTTCTACTGTTTTCGTGAAGTTCTTGGCATTAAGGATAATTCTCTGACGCCCTTTGGATCAATGGCCAGAACCCCTGAAATCAGCGCTTTTTACGTTTTTTTTAAATTTGGCTAGATTCTATAAAACAGTTTCATTGTCAAAATTTCATCTGTAAATCTCTGGTATTGGTAGAGAGAACGGAAAAAAGTGCAACATTTTTTACTCATTTCATCACTTAACAACTAAAATTGCATATTTTATGCCCCGTGACTGTAGTTATGAAACACACAGCCGAAGCGGAGCTTTGCATCACTTGCGATACATCACAAACATAAAGAACATAAACTGTCGAATAGAATGAAAAACAATTAAAACTAGGTCCACCAACAAAAACTACTTTTTGTCGGTCTCGGTAGAAACTCATTTTAGGCAAAATGCCAGACAATTGAAAATTAAATTAGCAAACCGAATGAAACTTACGAAGAGGAAACAAAGCCGACAATCTTTGAGCAGACACATGGGGAGCCGAAAAAGCATTATTTGAATAAAAGTAACACCCATTGACCCTTGAAACTACCTTGATCAAAATCTGTGTTTATAACTTGATAGACAAAACCGACAAAACTTGAGCAGACAAGGGAAATATTCAGTTGCATACAAACAAGCTGACAAACAAAGTTGCAATTTCCTAGAAACTGAAAAAGGGCCAAGTCGAAACTCGAACTCCCTGACACTTAAGACTGCTAAGGCAACGGCATTATCTCTAGATCAAGCCGAATCAAAATTGAAACTTTTTAATAAGTATCAACAAAAAAGCAACTAAGAAAAGCGAACAAAACAGATTTGTAAGCACACTTGTTTACGGGAAAAAAGTCTTGCTACCGATAACAAGACACTAGCTTTCGCAATTATAACACGTAGCTTAAAAAACAATATTAAAAAAACGCTGTTTGGTAAATTGACATAATGAGCATGCCATGAATGCAGCTGTAAATTTCATCATCATCCTAAACTTTTTACTCCAATTGAATGTTTGTTTTTCTTTCGACATTTCATGAAGTGATGGGAAGGAACAAAAGCGTAAGAAGATTTTTTCCGCCTAATTTTATGTATTAAACGAAATTTTTTAGACGATATCAGTGTGGTATCAAACTCAAACGCTATATCCCGTACTTTGATTTACAAAAATTTTATTGAAGTTTTTTCTTAATGACGATGAAAAATTATCGGAGTTTTTCCTTTTTTCATACTGATTTGCTCGGATGTCCGATTGAAAGAGTAAACCTACTACCTGAATCCTAAGTAAGTTTCTGTAGTTTTAAGCATAATTACCTCAACCTAGCACATTATTATCTGCCTGGATAATCGCCAGTCTGCAAAGTTTTTGTGGTAATCAAAAAATATTGTCTTTTTTCTAGCTGATCTGATTTTCCCCACATTATTCAGATCGAAACGTTCTGTGCTACTAGTGCAGCTGACACCCACTTGGTGTACACAAGAAGACGAGCGAACTAGCTATTTTCAATCCTCTTCCTGCTCTGCTAAGACTGAGGCAATTGGAACCAGCTAGATACAGGTTGACACGCTCATATTTAATTTTTACTCTGCAAAACTTTTACTAAAACATTATTTGACACACGCGATACAATACAAGCATAAGAAAAAAAAATGAAAAATACTGTAAAAAAATTAGGAGAACCAAAGTTTTCGTATGTCTCGGCCGAAGACAACTAGGGTACAATTTACATATTTTTGAGTTTGTTATATTGATGCGGAACGAAATGCATAATTTCAAAAATAGTTGTTTTTCTACTAGATATTTCCTTAGCTGTTTCTCTACTAAATTGAGTGAAGTGTGAAAATTTTTAAAATATTGGGATTTGTAATCAAATAGAGAAAAACCCTAAAACCAAATTTTTCGATTGAACAACGGAAAAATGGTAGGGTAAATTTCGAGTTAAGTCCACAAACTTTAAAGCAACGATCCAAGTTGCAAACCTTTTGACTTTTTGAAGGCCTCAACTTTATTTTCAAAAAACTGCCCGAAACGAATTGTAAAAGTAGAAGTTGTTTCGATTAAACCTATGAGATCAGACTTGGCCGGATAGTTATCGAGATAGCTTCCGAGAATCATAGCGTCTTGCGTAAAAGAATTTGAGTGTAGCCATTTATTTAGAAAAAATTCAGGCACCCTTTAATTTCAATTGAGCCCAAATACTCAGACTTGAGAGGGTAGTTCTCAAGATAAGATAGAAAGTTCAAACAAACGGTCAAAAAATCAAACTTTTGTCTTTTCCGAGGGCTATATTTCTTTTTTGGATAACAAAAATTGAGTGTGGCCGCTAATGCAAGGAGATTCCCACTACCCTTTCTTTCCATTGAACCCACAATTTCAGATTTGGCAAGTGGTTTTCCGAGAAAGTTATGAAGTTAATTTAATATATGGCCTGAAAGCTCTTCGAGAGGTTTCTAATTGGTACTTTTTGATAGTTAACAAAATTGGAAAACTGGATTATAAGTAAAAATGCATTTCGTTGTTTATTGGTTATTAGAGCATTTTACTTCTGAAACGAAAAAAAAATACCACGATCTATTTAAGAGTCTGAACTACGTTTATGGGCTCTTAAACAGCCAACAGTCAGTGTTAAAGAGCTCAATGAACCATAACCCAATAAGGCAATACTGCTATCTTTCAGAAAAAAAATCAACGCTTTGAACGAGGCATTTGAAGAGCGTACTTCCTTTGCCTTCCGTTTGACAAATGATTTTATATTGACTTAAATAAATTTAGATTTGAGCTTGAACAACATAAAAAAACGACCTAGTAAGTGAACTGTTTCGACATTCCTCTCAAAATTAGGTTTCGTCCGAAGTTGAGTTCAAGTTTCAAATTAACGTCAACGAGATTCAGTCACATTTTATGCAGACAAAAACTTTTCCTTTCGAATGGCTGCAATTGAATTTTTATGAAGATGAGAAACTGAAATTAAGGCACCACAACAAACTTTCTGCTCATTGAAGTAATTCATCCTATGATGTGCTTATGAATCGAGTTTCAATGAAAATTTGGGAACTTTTTAAATCGTGTCGAGAGAAACGGTTATAAAAAAATCTTGCTTTCGTCTTTTTTATCCCAATTCCGCAGCTGCAATTTAATTTGACGAGACTACAATACCGAAAAACTCAAGAAAACTCAAAATAAAAAACTGAGTTGCCTCCCTGGTCTGGAAACTGCATTACCCCCCGGGGGCGGATCTAGGATTTTCTCGAGTGTGGGGGTCTTAATTTTTTTAGATTGACTAAATCGGTTTTCCGAGCTCTCCCAAACTACTAAAAACACCCAATTTTGGCCAAATTTTCTGCTCCACAGTCAAATTTTTGATAAAAAAACAGGCCAAAACAAGGTGTTTTTAGGCACCTCTGGAAACTGTTGACCAAAAAATTGCTTTTTCGGCGCGCGAATCTCCCTTCAAAAATAGTAAATATTGGCAACGAAGGCGCATTTTGGAAAAATTTAGGGGTTCGTCAGCCAAAAATGGATATCTCAAAATAGTACTAAGGGAAGACACATTGGTTCGGCAGGAGGTCGAATCCCTGAGAAGGGGGTGTGCGCCTTCCCCCTCCTAAATCCTCTTTTGTTTACCCCACTATTCTTGCTGCTTCTTACACGTCCGAATTTGCTGTGAAAAATTTACGAAATATTTTTAATTAACTTAGTAAACAATAATTTTTTAAGAGCATTGTAAACACATTAACCAAGGAAAAAAGCTGAATTTCTAGTCTTCGCTGGCTCTAAATTTAAATCAACAATTCAAACGAAAAAATAGCCAACAGAAAGCTGGAAAAGTGTCAATGAACTTAAGGAAAATCAAGAAACGGATTCTTTTTGGAACATTTTGCAACTTTCGAAGAAAAAAAAATTACTGACGATCATAGCTCTTTGAAGTTCGAGAATCTTTTATGATTGACGGTTTTTCATAAAACCAACTTAACTAGAAAAAAACTGCGTCGAAGGACAATTTTTTAGAGGCACCCAAAAAACTAATCCACCTTCGAACCCATAAAAAATTCTTCACGTTTTTCCGGACACTTGCACTTTCGTTTTGTTATTGAAGAGCGTCAATTACCTTTCTTCGAAAATAAACTATTTTGAACTTTAAAAAAATCAAACGTCAAACTGTGAAAGTTCATCAAACAGCAAACTGCGTGATAAAAAATATTCACTTCATTCATTGACACTTAAAAATACTTAGTTTTAGTTTTGCTTTAACAGATCCGATTTCACGCTAGGAAAAGTGATTGTGAATTGGGTGCAAAATCAGCTTCCCTCTATCGTCGCAGGAGATGTTAAAATCAGCCAATACTTCTCTACACCTATTTATGATGATAGAACTTATGTTCATTCGTCTCGTAATTCCGGTCAAAAACAAGACCAGTAGCACTACCAGGGAAATAGAAAACACTGGGTTGTTAAGAAGAGAGGTTCGAATTGGCACTGAAAACGTAATAGGGTCCGAGATCCAGAAATATGCGCTGATTAGCGTCGCAGTTACCGACATGTAAAAGACAACTCTCCACGATCTAGCTGCTGGCTTGGTAGTTTCGACTATTTCAGTCAATCGTTTTTCAAATGCCATCAAATCTTCTTGGGCCATCATTTGCATGGAGTCAAAATGAATTCATGTGATTGGAACGCCACAAACAGAATTACGCGTTCGACTGTTTTTTTGGTTTCGTTATTAGTTGATTTTAGTTCTTGATCATGGGGAACTCAGAAAATTTCCATCGAAAACAGAATACTAGACCTGAAAAGTTCACCAACATGACAAAAAGTGATAGAATTCACAAAAAATCAAAATTTTGATGAAAAATGGTGACTAAAACAGAGCCAGAAAAATAGTTTTATTTCACAATTAAGACAAAAACAAACCAATTTTATTCAAAATACAAAACATCAGACAAATATTAGTAGGATTCTCTACTGACAATGTACTAAAAAACTCATATGATTCACGTCAAACTAATTCTCTTTTTAAGCCAAGGTATTTTTAGAAGTCACTAAGATAATTGGGAGCTAAACAATTTTTATATAATACGAAGTTTCACTTCGAACCAGAATAGGAAAAAACTTTCACTTAAGCTTATTTTCCATAGAAATTAATCTATCGATGAATCTATCAAAGTTCCTTTCAGGCACTCAACTCAAACGTCACCGATTCCCAATGCCCATATTTTAATATTACTTGGACAAGCAGGATGCCTGCGTATAATATCTTCCACTTTTGTCACGTCCAAAGTCAGTCGAAACTTTCGAAACACTTTCAGGGCCGCTTTATTTCCACCGAAGCGCCAAATCGAATCACTGCGTGTAACAACTCTCAGCATAATAAGTGAGTCGAAACAATTCATCGCTAGTGATTTGTCTATTTTCCTGTGCGTCTGGTTTCGCCTTTCAAACGTCGTGTACTCCTGATAAACCGCAGCAAATGTCACGTCTTCGCAATTGTTTTCAGACCGCTTCACTATTTTACACATGGCGGCCAGCATAATTAACTCAGAGACTGATATATTTTTGTGTATATTGCTATGCACTCCTCTGTTCATTTTTGCCAATGTCGATACCAACAAGTGATCACATTTTGTGAGGTCAAAATGTTTATCGAAATCACAGGAGAAGATGAGCTGTTGAAACAGTGACTTGAGAAAGTTGATTGTCGGGAAAGAGTGGAAGAGACATTCTAAAGTGACAAGAACGGAGTCGCTATTGATGAAAGTGTCAACTGCCTTGTTCCAGGAGCGACTGACTGAGTCTGATTTAGACAAGTGTGATACTGTGAGCAGCTCCTATAATGATTTAGAACAAGTCAACTGGAGTAGTAAAAATACTCAGACTCATAAATTACTCTTGCGCCAAAAATGATCTTTGAAAAAATAAACAGTTTTATTTTGATTTGGAGCTCTCATAAATGGCATATTTTTCTCAAAATGTAGGTCTAAATTTTACGGTATTAAAACTCCGATGGGGTTCATTCAGACCACTCCCCCCAGCAAAAACATATTGGAGGAGCCAATATTCAAGGGCGAGTGGGTGAGTTTATGAAGAAGTCGATTTGTGTTGCGGGGTCCCGACAATTAACTAGTGCAGAGTAGCTCAAATGCAAAGTCACAATGACGTGAATTCGAATCTGCAGTCATGACGTCACGAGTACAGTGGTTATATTCAGCACCATTGCATCTCACAGTTTTCTATTACATGAATGTTTTTATAACCATTGCATCACACAATTTTATCAAGAAGTTCTACCCGTCCTTATTGCAGTTCAAACATTTCCCATTTCGCAGTTTTATTCCATTTTCAGATTTTTTCAAAAAACGGACATAATTTGGTTCAGAGAAAGAGCCCGAGACTACAATCGTCGGTAAGTCGAAAACTAATCTCAGCCTACCTTTGCGCACGCAGTCCACTGGTCAAATGCCATGTCCTGGGAGAGTGCAATACTCCTATGTGAGAATCTAGACTTGACTCTCTTTTCTAGCAGTTCGGTAGAGTCCAGTCTGGCCGACAGGGCGATGACCAGAAGGGGAGTCTTGAATGATTGGCAGGTATCGAAGAGATTATAGAGCAGCATCTGGTTCTTGGATTGAACAAAATTCTCGAAAGACTGCAGCACAAACACTATGCCGTCCGAGTCTCTGAAACATGAACTCAGAGCAATACTCTACGATCAAACGTTTTCAAGAAAAAAATGGCTATCCAGCATAAATTGCATCTTCCCGGATAAATTTTTAGATCCAACGTGCCAAAGATCCGGTTTACTCATCCTCTAACTTTGGAAGCAATTTCCTCGACAACACCTGATCATGAAACCAAGTCTCCCAAAGACTGTTTTTTTTCTACCAGGAAACGACCTACCGCGAATCCTGAAGAGCGTTCAGAACAAAAGATAGACTCTTTCCCACAGTCATAGAAACCCCAGACATATCAGTGCTTCCGTCTACCTCCATTTTATCGTCATCAATTTCTTCGTTCTCATTTATATCAGCTATATTTATCATGAGTTGCTCATGCTTCCGGTTATTCACCAACAACTGTCGTGAAATTTCTCTGAGACAACTTTTCACGTCTGGTAATACATCTCCGTCGAGCTGAACAAATTTCAGTTGACCTTTGGAGTTGTTAGTTTTCCGAGATTGCTCATAACTTCGGATTGCATTTCTTACTAATCCTCTCTTGCCACTTCCAGGTGGACCCTCAAGTAAAATGGAGTTGCTCTCTTTCAATTCAACACAACGAGTAATAAGATTAGCTACGTTTTGCCTGTGACTTTCCAAATGTTTTGTAAAAGTGGGTACATTCCATTTCAAATCAATTAGTTGACTCATGACTGTGTCCCCTATCTGCTCTATGGTTGCTGTTGGCTCACGCTTAACAACAGTGGATTTCTTGCTTTTACTACTTTTTATCGCAGCTTTAAATTCCAGATTTTGAAGTTCACTCAATGCTGATTCTGGGATCTGTTCAATTGAGGACTGCTGTTTGGCAGTAGTTTTCTTGGTTCTAACACTGGCTACATGTATAGTGGATTTCGATCTAGCTACTCTTGGCGTTCTGGGTTGCTCTTCGACACTTGGACACTTGGTTACTCTTGGAGACACCGCGTGATATGAGGCTCCTCTGGCTACTCTCGTACGTCTTGTCGTTACCATGTTGTAAATCTAGAAAACATAAGCATACCCAGGGGCGGATTTAGGGGGGACGCCCCCCATCTCTCAGGGATTCGTCCCCCTTTGTACTATTGTGAGATAATAAGCGCTAAATGAAACATCGGAAATTAGTTTTCTATATAGTAAAACCAGATTTTTTAATACTAAAGCAATTTTAGTTTGATGACATGTACTTCAATTACGTTCAAGTTTTCCACATTCATAGAGGAAAACTTGAACGAAATGTCAAAACTTCGACTAGAACTAGAATTGCAAAAAAAGTCGAATATTCGTTGATCACTTGATTTCTCTGCTTGAAGAACTACAAGGATATTAAAAAAAAACCAAAAAATTGTATGATGAGAAAGTAGCCATTATTTAAAAATTTACATTGATACATTTTTACAATATTTACAGTCTTTGCATGATCAAAACTTCAAAGAAAAAAATAAACTTCTAGTATGGAAACATATGGAGCAGTCGCGCATTTAATCTATTCGTCAGTTTCATCAAAGTCCACTCTTCGTTTAATTGCGGGCAGGAATATCAGAGCACAGCTGACATTCTCTTTGCATCCATTCTTCATCGCACTCAGACAAATTTTCTCGCAGATATTTTTGGCAATCGAGGGCAAATATTGGTACCAATCTGTCCTCGCATCGACTGTAACATTCGATAATTCGCCTCGCAGAGCCTTCAGTGTAAGTCCTTTAAACACTTCTGATTCGCTGACATGTCGCTCTTCCACAACTTCAGACCCGTTTTGAGTGCTATTCGAAGGCGAGTGTACTCGGGAAACTATCGGAGATCCTTCTGAACTTTCGATCCCATTTTGTTGGTGTTTGTCTTTTTCGCTTGGCTCGACATCCAAATCATTCCTGTTTTCTTCCGACTTTTCTACTTCGTTCTGTTTTTCCTCTGAGAACGAAGAGTCCAATTCTTTGCTATTTCCTTGCAGGATCTCTTGTATTCTACTAGGGCTTTGAAACGTCACCGTTTTGTTCCGATTTAGGTCTTCGTCCTCGGAAACCAAATGTTCTTCCACACTTTTCTTGATCTCCATGAAATACTTTGGCAAGACACTTTTGCAAATCTTGATGCATTGAGACTCCGAAAGGACATTGAAAAGTCCCCGAGATCCGATCAAAATGAACTCGGTTGAGTCGTCTAAAACATATGAGGCACACGATGGTACTGGAATTGCAACTTGTCGCAAAATTTTGTCCCCTAGATTTCCTAGACCTCTAGTGGCGTGACTTCTTCCCACTTTCTTCATGTATTTACGACACTCTGGTTTCTCTTCAAATCGTTTTCTTTCCGATTGTGTTTCCATGACATGTGTTTTACTTAACCTGATAGCCTCACCGTCCCTACACGCTAGAACTCGATTATCGCCGCAATTGGCAACATGAACAAATAATATTCCGTCATGTTTTTCGAACAGGCAAGTCGATACTGAAACGCCAGACCAACGCACTGTACTCGATTCACCTTCGCCCATGCAAAGCAGATCATCAATACGTTGAAAAGTCTCAACAAAACAGTTTTTGACAGCTTTCCCGTAGTCGCTATTTTTCAACTTCATCATTCGGGTTCGGCTGAGTTCGATGTCTACTTTGCGTACAGAGAAGTCTGACCGGGCATACCTTGCAATTAAATTGTGGAATCGAGTGGCCATTTCTTGGTGAAATCTGGCGTAGCATAAATGTGAAGCTGCTTCTCCGTTGTAACCTGAATACAATCCCATGAACTGAACTGATCGCTTCAAAATCTCGGGATCATTGACGTTACTCAATGCATATTCAGTCAAAACTTCGTCCGGAAAAGAACCGAGAAGATCGTCAATGTAAACAGAGTGGTTAAGTAACTGACTTTGCCACCTTAGATTTGGTTCGTTAAGCATTGCAGTCAGCAGCACATTCGAGTTTGCTTCCTTATAAGGTATGGTGACGTTTGTCTTAGCAGCTACGTAAACCGTCGAATGAGGTTTCTGACCGATTTCATATTCATCTTCTATGTACATCTTTACAACCGAAAACGCGATATTGACCTCAGTTACAAATTGCAGAAACTTTTCTTTATACTTTGCATTTTTCGATCCTTGTTTCGCTTGTTTGGCAGTTTCAAACTTTTTAGTCGCTTCATTTACAACTTGGCGGCGTTTTTCTATCAAGTCTTCTATTTCTGAGGGCCAATCCGTTCCCTTGTAACCAAGAGTGTTCAGAGCCCTATGGAACAGATCGTGATCATACTTTAGGGACATGCGTACGTGAAACCCACACTTTTCACACCTGTCAGGTATGTCGGGAGTGATAGGATAGAAGGGCGTTTCCAAGTTGAACATAGAATGGGTAGGGTACGAGTCCATCCCCGAAGCAAGGGTCCTCTCCGGTTTGTTTTCAACTGCAGCCACTGACCTGTCCACAATAGTGACGGAATACTCCGGGTTTGAATTCATGGTGAAGGTACTGCACTCCAGAACAATTATGAGATGAAAATGAGCTTTACCATGCACATATAATCTGAAACTCTTCGCTTTTAGAACTCAAATAACATGGCCAACAGAAACTTGGGAAAGTGTCAATGAACTAACGGAAACCGGAAAAAAAAACATTTTGAATCCTACTCAAAATAACATTTAACGTTAACATTTTTTCAAATTCAAGAATTTTACACACGTTTTATTCATGAAACTAATCCAATAGGAAAACGGAGTCAAAAAGAATTTTCTGTTACGCTGGGAATTCTAATAATCAAAATCCTCTTTTCTGAAAACCCTCTTTTCGTTCGATTATTTTTGTGCCAGTTGCCCTTTTGAAATTGGAGAGCTTCTTTTTGGCAAATTCATTTAAATTAAGTTAGAGTTTGAGCTTTAAAAGCCATCAAAAAGTCAAACCACGAGAGAAAAATTGGAAGATCTCAAAGACAACAAAAAACGAAACTTTCTTCAGATACTTTCAAACAAAAAAATTATTTATTTTAACTCTTCGAATTTCAATCTTTTACGATTGACAATTGATCTAATTCAATTTAAATTTAAAAAATTCTTGGGTGTTCTTTTTCTAAAAAATAAACTCCGTTCGAAAAAAAATAAATTGCTTTCGCATCTCTTACGATTTCGGAGCATACTTTGCCTTTCTATTTAAAAAAATGCAGAGAAAAGTAAAATTTTTAAAAGACCAGCTAACAAAAGTAGATCGTTGCTGTGCAAGTAGCCCAGAGAGTTCAAACCACATAACTGAAAAGCACATTTTTTTCAAACTTGTGCCGTTTTTTATTCGTAGTGATAAGAAAAAACCGAAAATTTACTATACTACATTACTAAATTAGCCACGCTCGACAACCTTTTTGTATCTAATTGTTATGAAGAAAGCTGAGCTAGACCTGCAATGCAAACTATTTTGACCAGCGGCGTTCAAAATTCGAAAACAAAGAAATAAGTAACTTTCACTCCTGATAAATAATTTAAACACCGCCGATAAATCAAAAAAATATATCCTTTTTTGCAATTTCAAGTTCCATAAAAATATTTAACCACCTTGAGGCTTTTTGAATTTGTAAAACGTGTACCAACGTTAGTAACAAATTTCGACACAGTCAAAGTTGCACTTCGCATACACAAGCAAAAATATGACCCATAACGCTACTAGGAAAAGCTGAATGAGTAAAACTTTGAGCCTACAAAATTTCATCAGTGACGCACGCCAATTCCGAGTCTACATAATTGCTAAGTGACGCAAGCCAATTATGACGCATTAGCAGTACTAGTCAATTTAAAAAAAAAACTTACCAACTAATTTCAGTCAATCTGTTAACAAAATTGTTAACGGGGGAAAAAGTCTAATACCCGATTGGAACACCCTTGCTTATTGCAGGGGTAACAAAAACAAAGATTCAGCAAATTTTTTGGAACGCAAATACTAGCACATAACGGGAATATTGAAAGGATTCTGAATTTTAGTAATAAAAAACATGTTTAAACATGCACCATAACCAAATAAAGTCTGACAACGATTTTTTTGTCACGCCGAAAATTTTTAATTAAAAAAACTGATTCTTTCCGACTTTGTCTTTGCAGGTATGTGTGTTACATCTACACCATATGTGCAGATTACAACCTCAATTTTAATTTAATCTGAGCCGAGGGGTCAAACAATCATTAATTTTAGCCAGAAAAGTCTATAATCCAACTTGACAAAGCTCGCTGGTCAAAAGGTAAAAGATTTCCTGCTGCGCAAAAAAAAACACAATCTATAGAAGTATCTTCACTAGGTTTACTGACAATTAAAAAAGGAAACGCTGTTAAAAAAAATAATATGATCCACAAGATGATCAAATAATGTAATTTGACAAAGTCAATAATATATTTTTGAAAATAATTAAGTCTTTTTGAAAAAAAATATGAACTTAGCTCGCAGACGATGAGATCATCTGTGCTCAGAAAAAATGAGAAACAATGAGAGAGTTAAAGGAAAAACAACAATTTATTGGAACAAGATTTCCATAAACAAAAAATTTCAATTACTCCAAAATTGAAGAAATTCATTTGCTTTTTGAACCTCTTCCTTTCTTTCTTTTTCTTTTTCTTGGCTCTTTTCCCTTTGACAACGACCCGTCTTGTTCAACAACCTCCAACTCCTGTTTACCTGAAATGAAAAAAAAATTTCAGTCAAATAGAGCAAAATCAGTCCTTTTTTGAAAGAATTTATCTTTAAAAATGAAAACAGGTTTAACATGACTAATGAGTCAACCCGACTAAAGGCGCAATCAATCAATCAAACGATCAATATTGCAACATCAAAATCTGTTTCTTGAACATTCATTAAAAAGAGTAACCTTTCAATTTGGCAAGTTTCCTTCCTAACCAACATTCCCACTTGCTTCTATTTGTCATGTACAATTTCATTGCCACTTGCGCATCTTGGATTGAGTCATGTTCTCCCGATTGGATCTGGATTCCAAGTATTTTTTCTGCGAGCACGCGAAGTGCCGGAGTTTTCCTGGGACCCGAGGCCAGCTTGCGGAAAGGCGGGTACATGCTTGTATCCCGGGTGTCTCGCTTGGGGTGGCTCAGAAATAGGACCTAGGATAATTTCAACTTGAGTGAAAAAATTAATAAAAACTTTAATCAATTGAAAACAGACAAAACCAAAATACTTATATTTTGATGAACCTCAACGAATTTTTCGACAATAGACACCGATGTTTCCAAACAAAATTCTGCCCCAAAATTACAAAAAATATATTTTCAGCAACACGATTCGTTCTTATTATTTTTCTGCCTGTCAATCAATCATGCCCCTTTGTTCACATCTACCATAAAACTATCACATCTAACTACGACACCTTGAAATCGTTTGGGATTGCATGGCCAATTACAACTCTGCCCTTAAGTAACTGAGCCACTTCTTTCTGCACTTTCTGCAGGGGCTCTCCCTTCTCGCTCAGTTTCTCGGCTGTTATACCCGATAACTCAGTCCTGTAGTCTGTAATGTCCACTTCTGGCTTCACATACTTGTCATATCTGATAAAAGCAAACTTCACAGTTGAAAGATTGAAAGACTCGAGCCATTTGGCGTTTAAAATAGTGGATAACGAACTGGTGTAGACGAATTTGAACAAAAAGATTTCACAATCATCTTAGTCCTAGAAATTGTCAACTTTCAAACATAGCCAACAGCTTAAGTCTTTAGAAACTTAGCTCACAAGATAAACAGAAACCTTAATTCGTTTTGCTGAATATAACTTGTGAGCTGTAACGAAACTCAACTTTGCATCAATTCATACTAACAAAGGATGGCCATGTGAGTTCACAATTGAAACCCTCGCTAGCAGACTGAAGGATCCCGCCTTCAAAGCTCCCACCATCTCACAATCCAATGCAACCGCCTTTGTCGGCTCCATCATCGATGTCGGTAATTCTAACTGCAACTGTCTATTACTATTCGCCGTTTCTTTTATCCTTTCTGGGATCCTTAAATGGTCTTCTCCACGTTCCGGATCCCTTTTTTGAAAAGCGCTTCTTTCTTTCTGATCAGAGGTTTCTAGACCATCGATAAGGTATCCCTGGTCATCCAGTAAAAATTTTTCAAAAATGCGGTCCCGTTTTAGTATTTTAGGAGCAGGCATTACGTCGAAATTGACATCGTCCCAGTCCTCTTTACTGAAGTATGATTGTGTTTCAGCCTTAACCCCAAGCTTCTGCAATGTAGGAAACAAAATTCGGATATTATTTTCAACTTTTGAGAAATTCAAAAATACGAACCTGTATTAACCTTGTATGAGCTATTCGTTTCCTTTCTTTTCAGGTTCGGAGCGCTGAATGATTTTGATGCAGAATTTGACTTCGAAGCTTTTACATTTGCATCTTGCCCGACGCTAACTGTGGTTTTCGTCTTGGAGGGTCTGGGAATCTGTTGCTTCCGTGTTGTATCATTCTTAATCGAGGTACTAGAACGCTCATTTTTAGTGACTTTGCTTGCTTGCTTTTCGTTCTGCTTTTGTTTAATTACCATCTGCAATTTCAGCCAGTTAACATCACACGACATTTCTGAAAAAAAAATCACAATTAATACGAAAAACTAATGTCGCAGACAATATGCTGATGACATATTTTTTATTCCAACCCTTTACACAGATGTCAGCCTTAAACATTAAATACGAGCCCAAAGACAACTAACTATTCTCTATATAGGCGAACGACGGTCGAAAAACCAGCAAATATCAAACAAGGATAGCCGGTTGCTGTGGAAGTAGCACAGAATGTTCCGACCACATTCTCAGATTTTTTTAATCAAGTTAGCGTCTTTTCTTGTAGTCGTGTGATGATAGGGCTATTCAAACGCCTAGATATTTAGTCTTTTTGATCTTTTTTTTCAGAGAAACGGTTTTTAAAGCATCCAAAACTATATTTTATTTAAGTAAAATTATCAACTTTTAGCCTAAATTGGTAATTTTGATACATATTAAACGTTACTCGATCGCTTTACTCTCTCTAAAATTGACGAAAAATCAAAAACTTCAAACCAATTTTTTCTCAAACATTGTATACAGGGGTATTTTACTTTTTTCCACGCAAAATCAGGTACCACAAATAGTCCTCGGAATCGGTTGAGTTATAAATCATATTAAATCCTTTTTAGCCGTGATTCTAATGACATCAAAAAATTCCCAATATAATGTTATTCGAATCACGACTAAAAAGGCTTTAATATGGTATATAACTCAACTGAGTCCAATGACTGTTTGTGGCCCCTCATTTTGCGTGGAAGAAAAAGAAAAAAGCTTAAACACACCTTAAGCTTAAACACAGCTGCGCATGTAACCGAACCCGTCTCAGTTACCGTGTATCAATTGACTTTGCACATGCCCAACAAAGCAAAATTAACTCTTTATTGGGCTTCATATTGAGCAAGTTCTCATAAACCATCAAAACTTTCGATGCTACGCAAAATTTAACAAAAAAATAGATATACAATTATGACAAGTGTGCAGGAGAGGTCAAGAAATGTGCAAAATTTATATATCAAGCTATTAAATGATTCACCTGATTTTGTTAACTAATGTGATTATTTCGTAGCTCTCAAAAGCGGTTCAATTTGAGGCAAACATGCTGAGAACAACAACTGCATATGTTAATTAGTATCGAAACAAAATTAACCAAGCGGTTATTAAGCATACAATATTTGGGTAGACATCCTCCCACTCCAAAGCTTACCTCCTCCCATTCCAAAGCACAAACGAACAAAAGCAATATAAGATTGGTGCTTTTTTGATTTAAAAAAAAGTTAACCCAATTTTTGAAAACTGTCAATATCAATAGTTTTTGTTCCGCTGGAAAAATTTAAAATTAAATTATACTTTCGAAACCAGAAGCCGAACCATTTTTTTTCGCGCCATTTCCACGTTCGCATTTGGAAAGTGCTATTTACCTAATTTTCAGCATATGAATCTCACATCTGAACTCAAAATATAAATGCATTAATATGCATGAACGCCTATCTGTTATTAGAGAACATTAAGATTCTGAGGATTTTCTGAAAAAAAAACACAAAAATCCCAAGACCTACATAAGAGTCTTTAATATGTTCATTACGCTTTAAAACAATAAGCAAAAACTCATGACAAACTAGCAGACATAAATTGTGACGAAAGCCGCTGAGTCCAAAACAGATTCCGGCCGGATTTGAATTACAAGCCTTCATCACCTCAAGCAGTTGTGTTATCTCTGCCTCAAATGCGCTGGATATTTCAATGACTTTGGAAATATTATGAAGCAAGTTGAAACACGTGTAAAACTTTCACGTGCGAAATCTTAAAACAAAGTTAGATTCAGGAAAAAATTGATGTAGTATCCATCCGATTGCAACACCCTTGCTAGTCGGAAGGGTAATAATTGTCAGTTGTTCTGCACCTGACACCAGATCATCTCATGTTTACCGACACTCTACAGCTTACCCTAACCTTGATTTCTTCTAATTGCTTTTGGGTTAAAAAAAAATACAGGACCCGTTTGCAAAACTCTGCTCAAAAAATGTCTGATGGCCATCCGCAATATAAATCGGACATACCATCAGCAATATAAATCGTAACATATAAAAACCATACAGAGTCATTGATATATACACAAATGCGAAACAGCACTCCGCGAAAAAAAAATGAAGAAGCGGCTTTAGTTTTAAAGCAAGGAAAAATGCAGAAATATGCTTTGAAAGAAAAGCAACTTCAAAGAATAGCACAACAGAACAATTTGAATCAAGTGGTATTCTTCACTAAAAGCGGAAATAAAACCACCGAAATTGCTTTGACAGAAAGCTAATGGTCATTTCATCTGGGGAAACCAAATTCAACGCCCTTCTTCACCCATCCACCCTAGTGAAAATTTACTTGGAAATTTTTTTAAAAAATCCGCAGAAGTGATCGTGATGTATTTATAATCTAGAGGCTTTAACATATATGAAACAGAATTGGCCCACAAAAGACAGTCAACAGACAGTTGGAAAAAATTCAAAGAACACTTGTGAACTGAAAAAAAAAGACTTTTGAAAAATTTCAACTTCCGAATTTCAAAGACGAAAATAGAAGCAGTTGAAGCTCGTAGAATTTCTAGAGCATTTTACGACCGGTACTTTTTTGATAAAATTAACCCAATTTGAAGAAAACTGGATCAATAAGTAAAATTTTTATTTCGCTGGGAAATCTGCTAATTAAATTTCACGCTCGAAACTAGAAGTCAATCACGTTTTTCGTGACCTTTCCACTTTTGCAGTTCGATAGTGGAGTTTGCTTCTTTTTAACAAAGGAAATGAATTGAACTTCAGAAATCAAAAGAAAAACTGCGAAAAAGTAAAACTGAGCCTGAACAAATTTTAAGACTATTCCTGAAAAAAAATCATTGCAACCTATGTAAGCGTCTGAGTTACGTTCATCGAGTCTTAATTAAAACAACCCGGCGCATTCAAAAGAGTAATGATCAAAAAACAGTACCCTGCCATTATTTTCCTATTTTATAAAAGCAGAACTCATGGTCTCAATACAAAGTTAATTAATATTGAAAACTTAACAAAATTTGTAAATCTAAGATTTGAATTTTACAACGAAAGCATCTATGTAAGAATTTGAACACTAACAAAATCGTGAAATAGAACAATAAAATCTGCTCCGCGGCTACATTGGCTCAATTTGGAAGCAACTTAGCTGTAGAAAAGTCCATTAATTCTGAACAACTTGTTGCCCCTACGTTTACAGTCAGGCAAGTTTAGCTCAGAACTTTGACCTTTTCGTGCAATTTTATTTATTTTGTAAGTATGCCTTCTTCAAATAATTTTGATCTGAAGCACGTGGATTCTTCGCGTACCTTTGAGGTATGAGCGACTTGGGGTTATTGGAGGAGGCAGAGAAGCCTCTCATTTGACCTCTAGGAGTAGGAGTTTTCTGAGATCCATTAGCACTTTTAGAACTCGTTGATTGGTCTGGACTAACTCCACTTTCCAAGGCTTTTAGACGTTCAGTTAGAGCTAATTTCTGACTTATTGCCATTCTTAAAATCTGTTCAAGTGTTTTCACGCTTTCATTCATATCTCTGCATTCTTTATTCTTAGCTTCAAACTGATTAGTTAGAGCATCCACTCGCGAAACCAACATAGTCCGTATATACGCAAACGTGGCAGAATCATTTTTCAATTTGTTCAGTTCGTTTTTGAGTTTGCTCACGTTTTCCACAATCAATTGCTTGTCTTGCTCGTACCTGGTTTTGACCGTTGTCAGAGCTACTTCGGCGGTATGCTTGTTTGCTTTCAAAACAGCTCTTAGCGACGTTATCTGCTCTCGCTTTTTCGCCAATTCTGATTTCAGTTTTTCAACCTGCGGTCCGAGATCTGTTTGTGTTTCAGACGTGTCATTGCTTAGCGAATTTTCGTTTGCCTCTTGTGTAAGTATTTCTTTTCTAATTTCTTTCTCTGTGGATATATTCGTTGATGATGTGACTGCTCGTTGGCAAGATCTTTTAAGTTCTCGGAGTTGTTTTTGCACTAGACTGATAAGCTCAATTGGGAACTCCGTGTCGAACTTTGACTTGTCTCGGAATTGCTCCGATTGCAGAGTTCGAATTAACTCGTCCACTTTTGGCTTTAGGCTCTAAAACAAAAACTATTCCCTGATTCAAAAATGTATCATAGTAACATGACAGTTTAAAAGTAAAAAAAAACAGCAAAAAAAGAAGCCGAAAAAAATCATAGAATATTGATTAGAAGAATAATATATATCAGGTTACAGCTCTTTAAACTTAAATAAAAATTAATGACCGACACTTTTTGATGAATTTAACCCAATTTACACAGATGCGCAGCTGCACTTCGCAAAAACTAGCAAGAACACAATAAAGCCCCTTTATAAGTGAAGTAAAAAACCGTTAAAGTAACCCTCGAGTTAGTAAAACTTCGGTACGTATCGGATTCGAACCTGCAACCTAATCGAGATTAGGAAAGTACTGCCCTGCCCTCTCGGCCACGAACGCTTAAATATCGGTAAACACTGGTCACAAATTAAAAAAAAAGCTACAGATGCTAGGAAATTGCCAATGCCATGCAGCGAAAGTGGCACCAAATAAAACTGACAGTTTTCATGTGAAAATTTGAAACAACAAGTTGACGGCGTCCATACTAACTTTGCATGTAATAAATTGGAAAGCATAATTCAAAATTTTGTACAACTTTTGCATTTCAAAAAAAGCGAGTTACATTGAGATAGAAAATGTCTTGAAATCATTTTTTTTATTACTATTGTGCTGTTGTTTTTTTTCGGTTCATTTGATCAATTAAAAATGCATCATCAACTTCAGAATCAGCAGGTTACTTTTGGAAAAATATATATAAACTTTCAAAAACGGGCAAAAGTTCAAAAATTGTACATTGTCTATGGTCATAACTTTTGCTGCTTCCACGGAGAAATTTGGTCTAACTGACTGTTGCTTTTTCGGTTGAACCCTTAATTTCTGATTTGGCGGTTTAATTTTTGAGAAAGTCACAGAGACAACCAGCCAGTTTTTCCATTGATACTTTGTTTTTGAAGATTGGCAAAGTAGTTTTTGCGAAAAACTCAAATTTCAGCAAAAAGAGCAAAGATTTTCCAAAGCTTCGCAAAAAAAGAACAAAACCCATATATTTTCATTATACCTATTTCTTTCAAACATGACCTTAGACTAGCCAAAAATAAAGCCGCAACCGTGCTTTTACCTTGCATATGCTCAAATAGGCTGAAATATGATTTAATTGAAATATACCAAAAGTGCCACAAAATTCCATCGAACTAAACCATCAAATTTATAATGATAGAAGTTTTAGTAATTTTAGCAAACCACATGATTCAATACAAATTCATAACAAAATTTGTTTTCACCACATGATTCTTAGATTCCCCTTGACGATTAAACAAGTCTTCAATTTTCATGCAAAAAATGTTGTTTCCAAACTTCCGACTGCTCGCACAGTAGCACTTCAAACCTCGATCTTTCTTTACGAACAGGTTTTTGTGAAATTCAGATTCAATCGATGATTCAGAACTTTCCTTGTTTTCTTTTGTTACCGCTCAGTTCTACTGGCTTAGTCCTATAGCTGCGTATGGACGATTGACTTGCAGTCTTTATCTTTTAGTCGGCATAAATGGCATTGACAAAAATAAAAACAATATGCATAATATAGAAAATATCCAGAATACTGCATTCGCAGTACCACAGGTGTAAAAAAATGTTCTGAACAAAAAACTAGAAAATAGACATATTCGACAGTCATAAATGAGCAAATTGGAAAACAGTGACTAGAAAAAAAAACAAAAAAAATGATAAGAAAATTTCTTCACGATTTTTTCAGTTTTTTGCGATTTTTTCAAAATTTTTTATTTCCGAAATGCCGTTAAAACAACTCCAAGAAGTAATTTTACTCAAGTAAAACTAAAATCAAGTACAAATAAGCAATAGTAAACAGCTTGAATTAATCATAAATCAGCCTGCTCGATGGCTTTAATCGCTCAAAATTAGACCAAAAATCAAATTTTTCAAACGGATTTTTCCCGAATTTTTTTATGTCGATCGAATCATGGCTGAAAGGGTTATAAAATGAAATATCACTCGGCCTATTCCGATGATTGTTTACGCTGCCTGCTTTTGCGTGGAAAACAAAAAAACCCAAAACACTCGAATACAAAGTTCCTACCCGCTTTCAATTGGTCGGAACTAAAACTATCACGACCTACACAAGAGTCTGAACTTCGTTCATCGACTCGTAAAAAGAAACAAAAATTATCAAAACCTGCTTAAAATAAAATCACTTTGTTCTTTTACACTTAATGTTGGTGCATGTGATAATTGTAATGAGATGTTGAAATAAACCTCTTCCAAATGTACCTGTTTAGGCGTGCCTTCTGTATCAACAGGAGTGCGTGCGTCTCCGTCCTCCTGTTGTGGCGATATGATATGCTGCAGACTAGATATCTCTTCTGAAAACAGGGCCACTTCGTCCAGGGTAGCATAGCTACAGCTGACTACTGCTCTGTGTTCGTCTTCCAGGCCTCCAAGACGACGCTCGCATTCTTTCAGTTTTTCCTAAAGTAAAGACAAGCGTAATGTGTATGTGTTTGAAGCAATAACAAACATCCAGCAAAAAGCGAGTTCTCAAAAATTACAAGCTTCACTTTGAAAACCAACATTTTAATTATAGTTTTTCCTATAATTATTAAATTTAAAACCGCACAAAATCGAAAATGAGAAAACTGTTTTTAATGACAAATTTTACTTTTTCATATTTGATCAGTGAGTTAAAATAGTTCACACAATCTTGATTTCTACTGAATGCTCTCCTAAGTGAACTTGATTCTTGATTTACTTTAGTCTGTGTCAGGTTTGTTTTCACTCCTTCCAACTCATGTTTCAAGGCACTTTCGAAGTGTGATGATACGTCTTGTTCTTCTTGATAATTCTTCTCCTTATTTTCTGATGATATTCCGCCATTAAGCAGTGATTGTCTGAGTTGGTTGATCTCTTGGGTTAGCATCTGGTTACGCTTTCTCAACATTTCTATTTCTTCGTAACCGTTACCAGACATGTCTCTACTTTCGCCGGAAGATGTGAGTTGATGAGTGAGTCTTGAATGTGGATCCTGATTGGCGTCTGATAATGTGTGTTGTGGGGATCTGATTGACTTCTGGGGCGATTGGTCGGGTGTGGATCCCTGAGAAGAAGAGGGAACTCTGGAGTGTCGAGGTGTGGAGGGTGATCCGGCTGATGTTAGATCATCGTCCTAAATAGATAAGCCCTGTCAGCTACACGTAACATTGCTACACAGCCAAAGAAAATCTTTCATAGCTACTCATAATTCTTCATTAGTATCGAAGCCGCGAACCAATTTAGATAATTAGAAACTTGCTAGGAAATTTTTAAACAATTTAAAATGCATATAATAAAGCTTATGCAACAAATACATAACCGCCACGTCACAGTCGAATTCAAGCAGGCTTTTTAAATAAAAAACCTTAAAACCTCTATTTACATTCAAATTTAGAATGAAAGAGACACGGCTCGTTATAATCATCAGATTTATTCTTCTAGGGTCCGTTATGGTGGCATACCTGTTCAATGTCTGCAGGTAGCATGCCGAATCTGTTCAGGTCGATTTTGTCACCTATGTTGGGATCCAGCTGTCTCAACTCGTCCTGCAGACTGGTCACTCCCATGGACGCTGACGCCTCCAGACTGTCTGAGTTGTTCTGATTGTTCAGAAGGGACTCTAAGTCAGAATTCATTGAGTCCTCCTCACAGCTGAAGTTTTCAGTACCTCCTCCAGTTCTAAATAGAAAAAAAAAAACAGCTGCAAATATACCAAAAGTCATCATCTAGAAAAAAAAAGTCGCGTTAGAAAATTTGAGGCAAAAAAAATCGTTATATTCCAAGTTTTATTTTACTCTTTTTTGAAAACCAAAAATGAGCGTATGAAAATTTCAAAAAAAACTCAAGTTTCATTTTCATTTAATCAAAGTTTCAGTCTTTGCTTTGAGTAGAGGAAACCAATCAGGATTAGTTTTTCTTTTCTTAATACAAACCGCAACCTAACAGCTAAATTTTAACTGAAGATTTAGGCAGTGACGTAATTACAGATAGCTGCGTATTATACCTGTCCGGGTAGGGGACATATTGTATGGCCTGCATCTGCTTCGTCTTCTCCAGTTCAACCACCACCTTCTTCCTCAACTCCTTCTCCGAATTGAGCGCCTCAATCGCCTTCTCATAGTAGGACTTGAACGTCTCCTAAACACGGCCACCGCCAGAACACTTCAAAAACACATAACTCTGTCAAATATACATCGTTACACTTCTTGGATCGACCGCACAATCCCCCCCCCCCCCCTAAGTGACCTACCGCAGAATGCCCTCCACAAGCATCTATTAATTCTGAAAATAACTCTGTATAAAAAATGATCTCATACAAACGCGCAAAAAAAAAATTGGTTTTGACATTTTTATGCAGGATTGCATTTCTATGCTGGTAATTATAATTCCAATTTCTTTAGTAATACGGTTAATTTGTACTTCAATTACTGTAATTCTAACAGAGATAAGAAGCCACTGTTTTCATTAATTTGGTCAAGAAAGAGCGATCTCAACCAATGTGATACAAATATGCATCAATCTTTCTCATTAACAATCTTATGGAAAAACTTCACATGAAAACACACCGAGTCGAAGCGGAATTTGTTATACTGGTGCGGAACAAAATGGGTATTTTCAAAAATTGGACTTAGCCGAAAACTTTAAGTTGTTTCTTTACTAAAATAATTAAGACTGAAAGTTTTCGAGAAATAGGAATCTTCCCTGAGATACCACAATTTTCTTACAAAAAATCGAGGCGTCGCCACTTCTGTAGGGAAAAGAATCACAGGGGGTTCGTTCGATTGAACCTTTCATCTCAGATTTCATAGGGTAGTTTCTAAGAAAAAATAACTCGAAAAACGGTCAAACGTTCAAAAACTTGACTTTTCGAAATCCATAACATGTTTCTGCAAAAATAGAATATCGCCCCTAAGCAGAGAACATTTCCAAAATCGCGTTTCTCGATGAAAAACCTAGCCTAAGAATTAGCTGGGTAGTTTTCGAGAAAAGTCAAAAAGTTTCAAAAATGGTACAAACTTTTTCGAGGGCCAAATCTTTTGTGTATAAAAATTTTCAGGGAAAAGCAGCTAATGCAAAAGAGATTCACACAGCCTATTGTATCGATTGAACTCAATAACTCAAGATATGGGAGGGTAGTTTTCGAGAATAGTTTCAAAAACGGTACAATAACCAAGTATTAACATTTTCGACGGCCATAACTTTTGAATTTAAAAATGGTGCATAAAAAACTATTCAGGTGGTCAGCTTCCCACAACCCATTGATTCAATTGAACCCAAAATTTTAGACTTCGGACGGCAGTTTCCGAGAAAAAACCAAAAAATTCATAAAAAAAGGTCCCAAAAGCAAAAATTCGACTTTCCGAAGGCCATAACTTGTTTTGTTTTTAAAAAGGGCGTAGCCGCATATGCAGAAAACAGTCGACAAACCATTTTATCCAATGAACCCAAAATCTCATATTTGGGATGGTAGTTTTTGAGAAAACGAGAAATTTCAAAAATTTGGGTCAATTATTCCCCCAAAGACCGTAGAGTCGGGTCAAGTAAAAAGAGATTAATGATTATACAGGCACACAGATGAGCAGATCTTTTTATGATACCTTTTCTTGAAAATGGAAAGATTAGTTTTCAATTACCTAAACAATTTGCACAAAAAATGGAAAACAAAAATCAGAAAAAAAATAAAACCTATTCCCATACATTTTCATAATACCTGATTTTGCCAAACAGAAACTTTTCGGCCTTCAAAACTATGCTGTATAAATTGACAAAGCCAATACAACCTAAGCCGAAACCGTTTAATCTTTTCAAAAAAAAACAAAGCAGGCCAATAAAAAATTAGTAGTAGATAAAATGAATGCCATTTAAAAACGGAAAACGCGCCAATGGAAACTAGGCCGATAACCACGAATCCCAAAAAAATTCAACCGTTTTTCAAGAAACTTATTAGAAAAATAATTAACGCCCAAAATGTACTTCACTTATTTACTACCTAGACAAAGTAGTTTTATTTGAAATTTCATGAAATTGAGCATGTCAGCAGCATTGATTCAACTGATTTTGTTTAATTAGTTTTTATCCCAGAAAAAAGTCAGCATTCCGATTTAATAACGCTTGCTAATCGCAAGCGTAATTATCATGAAAAGAACTTCACAAGGCATTGAGTATTGACTTGCCTTCATCTGGGCCAACTCTTCGTTCTCCCGACTCAGTTCCACACTCTTCTCCTCCAGCCTGTCTCGCTCCCCGGTCAGTCTGTCATTCTCTATCTGCCGCATCCTCAAATGCGACACCTATAGTACACATTATTGCTCTGTTCCTTCGACTGTAAGTTGTTCGTGAGTGCATTTTTTTCCACGCAAAATCAGGTAACACGAATTTTTTTTCAACTTTAGCCAACAGACAATGAGAGTCAAATTTCGATTTTCAAGGCAAAAAAATAGATGGCTTACAGCTATTTGAATTTGTGGAACTATTTATGATTGAAACTTTATTGATGAAAAAACCAATTTACAAAAACTGGATAAATAAGTAAAAATTTTATTCCCCGGGGAAATCTGAAAATTAAATTCCACTTTCGAAACTAGAAGTCCATCACGTTTTCCGTGTCCTTTACAATTTTGCTGTTCGATAGTGGAGTTTGCCTTACTTTCAACAAAAGAAATGAACTGAGTTTAAAAAGAAATCAAACGTCAAACAGCCAAGGAGATTTGAGCCTGAACAAAGTATTTGATTGTTAACATGATTGAGAAGCTGGGAAGGGTTGTTCAACATGAACGATAATTGTGTGACAGCATGAAAAACAGCAATAAAATCATCTCGATACGATTGAATTTTTGAGTGTCGTATGTTGTTATGCCTGATATCATTTCATTTCGTATGTGTTTTTTGTTACGCCATAGAAGCTTAATGTGTTACTTGTTGCTGCAGATGCACATTCTCCTCCTCCAGTCCGAGGATGTCCTGGTTGAGTTTCCTCTCCCTCTCCCTCAGGTCCCTCACAGACCCCTTCAGCCCCACCCTCTCCATCTCAGACCCCTTGTACGTATCACATAACTCACGCTCACGACCACCTACACACAACACCACAAAATGCAATAATACAGCATTTTTAAAACTGGCCAACAGACAGTGAACTCGGAGTTCAAGAAAACATAACTCATTATAGCTCTTTGAATGTCAAATAGACACATTTGTGTCATAATAGACACTTCTTTCATAAAACTAATCCAGTTTTAGCAATGTTATGACCTGCAATTGTTCATTTTTTTTGGATCAGTTTGCAGACGATTAACACCTTTCAAACATGCAACTTCTTGAAAAATGACACCAGATATCACAGTTAAGATGTTATGAGTGTGACTACAGCCTCGTTCAGTTGCTCTTATGCAATAAGTTAATCATTCGATCTCAAATAGAGCCAGTTCTTTTTAGTAATAAAACAGGCCCTGACTTTACACTGAGCAACTAACTTAGTCGTTCCAATTCCTGTTGCAGATGGTACACACTCTCCTGACTCTTCTTCAACTCCACCTTCAGCTGGGCGACTGTGTCCGATAGAGCAATCTCCCTCTCTGCCTTCTCCCTCTCTATCGCATCCTCATCCTCCCTACTGATCTCCCTGATCTGCCTCTCACTGTGCAGCTTCTGGTCAAGACTCTACAGGCACAACAGAAACAGAGCCTGAACAACCGTTTACTTTCACTTACTAGTTGACTAAACGCAATTGGTTCTCAATATCCTCAGTGACCCTCAAACCATCAAAAAACGATTCTTTGATAGACAATTCCTTGATCGATTTTCCTTATAGCTTAGAAGTTCGATAAGGGCGAACTAAAGGCCTCAAAATCTTCTTGCACATTCATCGTATGAAGAATATATTTAAGGTTTTGGGACATCATGCTTCTTTCATTTTGAGATCAGCACATCATTGGATGCTCAGACTTACTACATGCAACAGAGATAAAGGCTTTCTGACAGGCAACTACCTATAAGAAGGGGTTTTTAGCGTAAAAATCTCCCATAAAGTGAATCTTTGACCTGAATCCTCGGAAAATTATGCACATGAGTTATTTTGAAAAAATCACATATATTTCGAGAAAACGGATAAGCTATCAATCATACTTGTTGGGTGATGGTGAGTTCATTTTTGAGCTGGTCGTAATCCTTCTGTAGATTATTGTAGCTCTTGCAGATATTCTCCTTCTCCTCCAGCAGATCCAGTCCATGTTGGGCAGCCTTCAGCTTCTCATTTTGTTCTTGGGACAGAGCTATCCTCAGCCTCGTGACCTTGAACAGACTCCATTCAATATTATCAATTCAGACAATGAACAGCGACATAAAAGTCTGTCATTCAGAATAAAGGGAGATAGGTCAATCGTTTAAACGCCCACGACTTGTGACAATCAATAACTGACAACCCAGTCTCTCTTTTTTTTTTGGCGAATTAGGTCAAAAAAAGAGGCCATATTAATACACTACGCTCGATAGCTTGCTAGCGTAAATAAATGTGAAGTCCAAGACGATAACTTTTGGAATTCCGTCACAGATTTCCTGAATAAATTAATCAAGAAAAAGGTTAAAAAAAGAGCATTAATTAATCAAAAGAAAGTAAAAAAACTTTTAATTGAAATGGATTTTTCTGGATTGTTTTTGGCAAGTTGCTACAAAATACTGATAACTGATAGCAAATGCCTACCTCGAACTTGAGACTGTCAAGTGAGTGTTCATCTGCTGTGTTGGATGATGACGTCAGCAGACTATCCACATCTGACAGAGACAGAGAGTACGACTCCTCCAAACTTGCACAGTTAACATTATCGCTACTGCTCACTTTCAGTCCACCTCCGTCCTTCTCCAAACAACTCCCATTCGAAAGTAGCGAGTCCATTTTAAGTACTATTTTTATGAAGAACTTTTGGTGGTAAAAATCAGCTGAAAAGCAAGCTCATTTTGAAACGTCTATTTCCATTCACAAAGCAATATCTGAAATCGAAAAGCAATAAAACTTATTATTCACAGCGTAACTTTCACGTGTAAGGATTCAAATACTTGGTCAACTTCGGCTGACTTAGTTAACAATTCTATGCATAAAAATGATATCTATTTTTGTTTACTTTTCTAGCTCAGAATTTGAAAATCTGTGCATTGATTATTTTTGACACATCGAGACATTAAACTTATTTACTACAGCAGCTTCGATCATTTTAAAAAGTACCTCAACATTTTTAAAAGACCTTAACTTTAAAAAGTTTTTTTTTCAAAACTAAATCTAAAATTTGTAAACTATTAGAATACAAGTGAAGTTTTGAATTTAGTATCTATTGCTCAACTCCCCCGAAGCAAGCACTATGCTAACAATACATTTACCAGAACATTTCTTGTCAAACTATAAACCACCTGGGCTCTGAGAGGGGAAGCCTATAGAGGAGACAACTTTTGCAAAAGCAAATCAAGTTTTAGAACCACATACAATTAATGCCGATCCGATGTGATAAACATAGCCAACAGAGAGTTGGAGAAGTGTCAATGAACAAGAAAACCATTTTAAAAAGCATTGTTTTCCCGGATCTCTAAGGCCTAACACTTTGCTGCCGAGGTGGCCACGAAAATGTTTTAAAGTGATTAAAAAATCTATTAACACAGAAGCGAAGATGCGCTTCGCAAACTTAAGCATGAGCACGACAAAAAAGTAGCTTTGTAAAATGAAATAAGTAATAGAAATACGCTTCGGATTAGAAAAGCTTTGCAACGTATCGGATTCAAACCTGCGACCTCGAGATTTGGAATCTTACGCCATTTCCTCTTGGCCACGAACGCTTGGCCATCGGCAAACACTAGTCACTAATAAAGCAGCTAAGGCAAACGTGGCACCAAATGCGAGGACATATTTTTGCATGTAATAATTTGCAATATAAAAAACTAAAGGCATCCACACTAATAAATTGCATGTGATAAATTAGGAAGAATAAAGCCACATTATGTACACAGAGGCGAAGCGGAGCTTCGCATCACTTGTGATACCACCAACAAAGCATTGCAACCTAGCAGACAGGAAAGGAAAGCAGAGCCACTACGTCAAAAAAACGGAAAAATTTCAAAAAATACAACTAAAAACTCAAAATGTTGTCTGGGATGATGTTCTATTAGCGGAAAACAATTCGAGAAACACAATCGACGGTGTTTAATGAAAATTCGTATACAATTATTGAGCAAAAAAAAAACTGTTGTCATGAAAAACTTTGAAGTATGAAATCTATTCTGAGATATTTAACGTTTTGTTCGATCCGGAGGAAAGCATACAAATTATGGTTTCCTAGAAAAATCCAAAAATATGTTAGTAAGCCGATGAAATTTAAGCCGAAATGAAATCATTTAGGCAAAAAAGTTTTCTACGTGAGAAAAAAAGAGAAAATATACGAAGTCAATGCTAGAAGAAATACAAATTGCAGGAGTAAATAAAAACATAAAAAACAACTACAACAAAAACTGCAAAATAATCTAGTATGTGGCAACTGAGCCGACAAAACATAAGCCCGTTAAAAAACAAACTGGTCCTGGTCAGATTCGAACCCGGGATTTTCGCCATTCCAAGCGTATTCGTTACCTCCAGGCGTATCCGTTGCACTTCGCATACACAAGCAAAAATATGACCGATAACGCTACTGGAGAAAACCGAATGAGTAAAACTTTGAGTCTACAAATTTCTTAAGTGACGCAAGCCAATTACGCCGCATTAGCAGTACCAGTCAATTTGAAAAAGAAAGAAATTTATCAATTGCACATGCCTCAATTTATAGAGCCGACGCACTTTGGCTAGTATACGAAAAAAGTTCATTAAAAACATCCGCAGTAATAAATGAAAAAAATAAATGTTAATTAAAAGATATTGAATTCTTTTTTAAAAAAATTGAGATTTTTGTGAAAATCATCTCCCACACGCCATATAAACTTCAAAGTGGTAAAATTTCCTCATATTAACAAATCAATTATGGCAAATAGGCTTCCTTCAACCAATTTGGAACAATTCCAAGACGGATTAAATCTCCGCTTACGCGTTAAAAAGCGTTCAACGAAAGTCGGAACAATAATAGTTGTTGTTAATATCTTTAGCATTGGCTAAGCTTAATAGCTGGTATTGATCAAAGGGAACACTTCCAAAATGAACACATTTTATCGCAACAATATTTGCGTCTCAATATTTGCGACCTAGGTTGAACAAAAAAGATAGTTCATACTATAACACAAGCTATGCTTGTGTAAAAAGATGCATTTCAAAAAATTGCGAGATATTGAGTTAGAAAATTTCAATATCGCGAGTTTTTATTGTTCGAGTGTTTGAAACGAATAGCTTTTTTCAGGTATATCGATGAATTAAAAATGCATCAACCGTGTTAACTTAGCACTAATCGAATGTCAAAGCACATGCTATCAAAAAGCAGTAAAAGTACCAACAAAAGTGGCACCAATTTTTGCGAAAAAACTCGAAAAAAATCGTTTTTATTACGCTACGCTGTCTATAGCTGGCTAATGTAAAAACGCTTTAACGTTTAAAACTGTTTGAAAAACATGTAGCACATCGAAGGTTTCAAAAAATTTTGAGTCATTCAATGCTCTCAAACAGAAGGCAAGCTTTGACCTGTTTTCATGTCCCAGTCATTTTCGGAGATGGTGTGCACAAATCCAGTTGACGAAAACACCCGTTCTACGCCAGCTGAACTCGCAATTCAAAGCAAATACAATTTAATGGGAATCTGCAATAGGCAAAACGAGGTGTATTGAAACGCTGAAGGAGAGCAAGTTGATACAAAACATCAATAAAACATTGAATTTTTAAACAACTGTTTTAAAACACCATAGTTTTTAACCACCGCCACCCTGTTTAACTTCAAGTTGTTCCAATTTGAGCAAACTGAATCAATAGATGGACTTTTGGGTACAATTTGCACTTTTGCTTTTGGAAAGCATAATTCGCCTCCCTTTTAGCAAATAAACTTTAACGACACTTTTAAAAAACCATTTCAAACGCGATAAATTAGGTTTGCGAGTTAACAAGTTTGACGCCCATAAAACAACTTGTTCATTGACACTTGTTTTCACTTTGTTCATTGACACTTGATAACTAAACATCGTGTTTATAAATCCCGAAGCATTTTAAATAAGTTCATATGGCAGAAGATTTGTGCAGACGTTTCTGAGGTTGTTGCTAGAGTATATCACCCTTACTTAGAGAGCATTAATCCATTAAATTGTAACCTAAATCCATTTCATATTTCCACTAACTACAGTTTGTTATATTTCATTGATTATTCAATTTGTTTCATTCGTCTTTGGTACTCATACGACTACAGCGGCCGCTTCGCCCCGACTGGTCGGCACTCGGTCTATCATGCACCACTCGTCCGTCTCGGGATAATATACTTCGGCCGAGTCACACGTGATATTGTTGGTGGAGTGTGCCGAAGTGAGTTTGCCACCAAACACGAATATTTTCCCATCCCACACAGCTGAGGCAGGCGCTGCTCGGGTGAACTTCATAGGAGTGCACGGGTTCCACTCGTTCTAACAGAAAGTTCAGATTAAAACTCTATTTGACCTTTTTTTTTTTTAAAATACTAGAGCGTAGATTTCAACCTTGTTGTCTAGTCTGCTAGATTTTCTAGTCAACTGAAAAATATATAAAGGGAAAAAGAAGCTAAGCATTCCAGTTTAGTTTATGAACATGATGAATAAAGTTGATACTTTATTGGCCAAAAATGACCTTTGATTGCCAAAAAACTTAGATAGCAACAAGACACAATTTGAATAAAAATCCAAAAATATCAAGCTTACCTGAGCATAACGCAAAACAGATCAGCTTTGATTTCATGGCAACCCTAAACATCAATATTTACCTTTTCTAAGCAGAACTTCTCGATTGAAGACAAGGCACCAGCATGTTCGTTGCTACCACCTATTGCGTACAAATAGTTACCACAGACCAACACAGCTACTTGGTTTCTCTTCTCAATCATGTCTGGCAAGGTGATCCAGGACTTGGAAGCCGGATGATAGGCCTCTACGGTCGCCAGATCCATACTATGCTCGTCCACTCCTCCCACCACATAGATCATACCTAAATCACTTGCTTTTGTTACCTTAGAGATCTTGGATAACCAATCTTTAATCTTTATACTTTTCTGGTGAGATCTTCAATCAACTTGAGATCTTTAATGGCTGGTTAAAAAAATCGAATGTCAAACTCGTATCAGAGCGAAACCCTGAATGTTCCGACTGCCCTTGGAAGTCGATGAAAAACATTTAAAACGAAAAAGGAATAAATTCAACGGAAAAAACGTATTAATGTAAACGCATTATCTGTTAATTTCAACTAGCGTGTAAACTTTAAATTAAGTTTTTTTTTAAAAACTTTTTAAAAAAACCAGAAAAAAACGTCAGATCTCGAAAACAACCAAAAAATTTGAGCAGCCACAATTGAAGGCAAGATCTCTCGCAATCCCTGAGAGTACTCTGACAGTCCCCAAGTTCTTTCAAAAATAATGAAAAAAACGTCAAATCTCGAACACTACAAAGATTTGAGCAGTCATATTCAGAGGCAAAATTCGCAACTCCTGAAAGTATCCTCACAGTTTCCAACTACAGGATTGAGATCTTGAAAGTTTTTGAACTTTTTTAAATCTTAATTTTTTTTGAAAATTTTTGAAAAATCATTAAAAAAACTTCATATCTCGAAAACTACAAGGATTTGAAAAGTAAGATTTGAAGGCAAGATTTGCAACCCCTGAGATTACCCTGAATACTCCCAAATACAGGGTTGCGAATTTAAAATTTTCAAAAACTTTAAAAAGTTAAATTTTTCAAGAAATTTTTAAAAAATCTCGAAAATTGCTCTATCTACTAGTCTAAAAGAATTGCTTATTGATATATGGAGGCCGAAATCGCAACATCCGGGGAAACCCTGACAGCATCTCACTATTGTGTTGCTACATTCAAGCTTGAAGTAAACACTGATTTCAAACAGGAAAATCGAAAAAAATTTAAACCATTGCAATATACGATATAGCTTAAACATGAAAAAATTCTTTTGTTAAACATGCAAAACCAATACGTTGAGAAGGTTTAAGCATGGCGAGATAATGAAACCCGCAATTAAATATATAATAGATAGATTGATTTGATTGTCGCTTAGGCGTTAAGAGCAGAAAATATATAACGCGCGTTGATTAATTTTCAAATCACAATAATTTGACTAAAAAACAGTCACAGGTTGTTACTGTTGTTGTAGCTACATCGATCTCTGCTTCGAGCCTCTAACTGAATTAGAGAGATTCTTACGTTAAAGGGGTCGAGAGTTAGGGAAATATTTATCGTGTCTGCTTATGTTGGTTTTGTCGCGTTCGATCTAACACTGCAGTTACCCCAGGGTCTCTAGCGGCAACACCGGCGTAGAAGGGGAACCGCCTTTTCTAGTGATAGCGTCTTTGTGCTGGTCTTGTCACCTTCCCACCCACTTAAGAGGGAGGTTCTGATTTGGTTATGAAACCCGTTCTAGGGGCCAAATTTTTCGGCGTGCCGAGAACCGAGTGAAACTCCAAGCACGGTTCAAGCGGGCAGTTTTTATTAGTGGGAAGAACTGAAACCCCCCCCCCCACCGTTACATGGGGATATGTGATAAGCTGCAGATGTTTGGCATATTCTTCGGGATTCTCCCAGAAGCTCTCGATGGTAAGCGAGGTTGAGTCTACCTGGCAGTTAAGCAGAAGGTCGGTGGTGTGTGGTCCTATGTAGCAACTTACAAAGACGTTGGGTATATTGCTGTTTAGCCTGTGGCGGTAGCTGGTAAGGTCATTTGAATATCCGGCTCGCAATTGTGACAGTGTATATAGAGCTTTCCGGTTAAGCTTGCTTTCATTTGGAGATGAAATTGGGGGCATTCTACCAAGCAGCTTGGACTTTTGTTCAGAAAGTTTTGACTTCTGTGGTGAAAAGGTTTTTGATCTCGGCAACGTACTCAAGCTTAGAGAAGTTCTACCGGTTCTCGCTAAGCAAATGTTCAATGTCAGGTTTGAACTTACGTTCGAGGGTAAGTCTGATGCTCTGATTAGAACCTTTGTTATTAACAGTGTGGTGGTCAGCTCTGTGCTCCTGGTAGCACTCGAGAAGAAACTGTTCAGAAAGCTTTTCATTGTGTTTTTTTGACCGGTAGAATTGAGGCTCAACAAGTAAACGTGTTATGTCACTCATTCTTAAGCATCCCTTTGTTAATCTCAGAGCGTTGTTTTGCTTTACGTTGCGAGTTGGTATAACTAAGCGTGAGTGTCAAATTGGAGCTGCGTAGTTCAGGACACTTTTTCCAATGCCTTAGTCGCAAGTAGAGTATCTTTTCGAATTTGAGCTCAGGGCATCAATAGTTTTCAGATAGATTAAAAAAATCCCGTCAAAATGGCTAGTTTAAAAATTGAAACTTGTCTCGATTTTTAAAAAAAACTAAGAACAAATATTCGGCCGAGTTCTTCGAATGCCGGATCATCAAAAACTGCTAGTTGCTGTGCATGTTGCACAGCAAACTCTTATCAGTTGAATTTGGAAAAAGTTTCAACAAATTGAGTCGCTTTTAAGCGTGTGGTTCATAATTAATGAAAATTTTCATTGACTAGTTAAAAACAAAAAAAAAACTTTTCAAACGGTTTTTTTTAGAGTTTTCGAAGTTATGAATCGATGGAAGGATGGATAAATGAATGATGGAATAGCTAAATGAATGACTGGTTGGATGGAAGGTTGGCTAGATAGAAGGTCCGGCCGGGACTTGAACCCGAGACTTTAGGGTCAAAGTGAAACAGCGTGGATGTTACTGATAAAGGAGCCGGAATGTTACTGATAAATAATTAAAGCAAGTTCAACATGCGATAAAGCAAAAAAGTTGCATTACAAGTAGCAAAACAACAGAACGAAGTCGAAACAAAAAATCAATTTCATATATGCAGAAAAATCACGGTCCAGCCGTGACTCAAATCCGAGATCAAAGAGCGTTACCACTAGACCATGTGGGAAGGAGCCCAGTGGTCACTGTTAATTATATAAAGCAAGTTCAACTTGCGAAGGAGCATTAAAATTTGCATAACAAGTAGCAGAAAACCAGAACGAAAATCGAAAAATTGTTTCATTTATAAAATTTTATAAAACCAACTCGGACAAAACTTATAAAACCAAATTTTTACGAAAATCCGTTAAAACATTGATAACCAAACAACGATTCGCAACTTAGCCAAAAAAAACTTAGGTTGACTCCCCTTGAGCCAAAAACTGTTGCTCAATTTTTTATAATAATTGAACCTTTTTACGAGCCATCCCTCTTGAATCATACCAAAGAATAAGTTTTTATTGTCCCTCAAAAGTACGCAAAACGAGTCGACTTAACCGATATAACGTGAGATTAAAAGTAAAAATCCAAACACAATTAAAAATTACAGAGAAACGTTCAGTGACACTAAAAATGACTTATCAGACTAGCGCATTACTCGCACCTACAGTGCTTCAAAAAAGTCGCTGAAAGTAAAACAGTGATATTTACAGCGATAACATGATTTAAAACAGCGATATTTGAAGCAACCGTGAAATTAAACTAGGCTCATCTATCAGAAGTTTCTTTTTCAGAAAAAACGCGATTTCTCAAAAACCAAAACGATTTGAGATATAATTAGCTGGCTAACCTGAAAAAACGCCTCTATTAAGGTTGACAATTTCAAGATCGGTTAGTTTTTTGAGTTTTTTTATTAAAAAACGATAAAAGAAAAACGCCAAGTCTCGAAAACCAAAAGGATTTCAGCAGTCATTCTTGGACGCCATATTTGCAACCCCTGAGTGTACGCTGACAGCACTCCGCAATAAGGTTAAGAATTTGAATTTCAGTTTAACTTTTATATCTAATTTTTTGAAACGATAAGACTAGAAAAAACATATATAAAAAACGATATGGATTCGAGCAGCCATACTTGGACGCCAGATTTACAATCCCTGAATATACATTGACAGCACCCTACTACAGGGTTGAAAATTTCAACTTCGGTTAGTTTTTTTATAGTTTTTTTGAAAAAAATCATTAAAAACGCCATACCTCGAAAACCAAAAATTCAGCCATTATACATGGACGATAGAAATGCAGGCCTTGAGTGTATCCTGATAGCACCCCACTATAGGGTTAAGAAATTCAAGTTGAAAAAAAACGAAGAAAATCAAAAAACGCCATATCTCGAAGACCAAAAGAATTTGAGCAGTCATACTTGGAAAACAGATTTGCCAACCCTGAATATTCCCTGACAGTACCCCAATAAAGGGTTGAAAATTTCATGTTCTGTTAGTTTTTTTATATATAAGTTATTTGAAAAAAAAAGATGAAAAAAATCAAAAACGCCTAATCTCGACAACTATATGGAATTGAGCAGTCATACTTGAAGGCCAGTTTTGCAATCACTGAGTGCAACCTGACAGCACCCCACTACAAGGTTGACAAATAATAATTCGGTTTGTTTTGGGTTGTCTAATTTTATTGAAGATATCAAAAATCATTAAAAAAAAACGCCCTATCTCGAAAAAAAAAGTATTTCAGCAGTCATACTTGGACGCCAGATTTGCAACCCCTGAATGCACCCTGAAAGCACCCCAATATAGGGTTCAGAGTTTCAAATTTCTTTTAGCAAATTGTGAAACAAAAATTTTGATAGTTTTACGTTGCTCAAATAGGAAAAAAATAGGACTTGAGTAAACTCTTCAACACTTGCAATGTCTTGGCTTTTTAACAGAACAACATAGGTACTTCTTAAACATGTGTCAAATTTAACTTCTTAAGCATTTTCATATACGAAATAGCTTGAATGTGCAAAAATTCTATCGCTAAACATGCAAAAAATATTACGTTGAAAAAGCTTAAACATAGCGAATTCTTAAACATGTCAACATCGGGAATTCTTTATTAGTTGTTACTTGAAACGCGAATTAAATTATAGATAAATTATAACCCATACTTCGAACCATCTAACATAAATAAACAAATATGCGTTTGCAAAAAAATTCCGAGCCGACAAAAATTACGACAGAAAGAATTATTTTAAAAAAATA